GTTTCATTCAGCAGTCTGTAGACTGGCTAATCAGTGAGTCCTATGAATATATTACATATGAAATCCATTTTTCTTTTTTTTTTTTTTTTTGAGAAGGAGTCTCATTCTGTCGCTCAGTTTGGAGCGCAGTGGCGTGATCTCGGCTCACTGCAACCTCTGCCTCTTGAGTTCAAGCCATTCTCCTGCCTCAGCTTCTCGAGTAGCTGGGATTACAGGCATGTGCCACCATCCCCAGGTAATCTTGTATTTTTAGTAGAGACGGGGTTTCTCCATGTTGGCCAGGCTGGTCTCAAACTCCTGACCTCAGGTGATCCGCCCGCCTCAGCCTCCCAAAGTGCTGGGATTACAGGCGTGAGCCACCGTGCCCGGCCTTTTTTTTCTTTCTCTTTTTTTTTTTTAGAAAAAGAGTTTCACTCTTGTTGCCCAGGCCAGAGTGCAATGGCACAATCTTCACTCACTGAAACCTCCACCTCCCGAGTTCAAGAGATTCTCCTGCCTCAGCCTTCCAAGTAGCTGGGCTTACAGGCATGCGCCACCATGCCCAGCTAATTTATGTTTTGTTTTGTTTTTTTTCATTAGAGACAGGGTTTCACCATGTTGGCCAGGCTGGTCTCGAACTCCTGACCTCAGGTGATCCGCCCGCCTTGGCCTCCCAAAGTGCTGGGATTACTGGCATGAGCCACCGTGCCTGGCCTCTACATTTTAATTATCTGCCAACAAACTCACTTAGTGGCTTGAAGAAAGAGCTACCCACAAGAACACTTCTGCACTTGATGGTACAAAGTAACTCTGCCCACCAATATCGTATCATGCCAAGAGATGTTTCTAGTTCTTCTCAAATTTTCATTCCATATAGGTCTTTCCTATATATACGGCCCTGTCAGGGGAAGCACAGCTGCACTGCACAGGAATCCTCTGTCACAAGACCTCACTAACATTACTTATTTCACACACACCTCCATTTTCTGTCTTACATATTAACAGTCCCTCGCCCTCTAACAATTTCCCTTGTATCTTCACGTTTCTTTCAGTCACCCCCAATCCCACCCAAAGAAAGCAGATTTTGATTTAGCGTAATAGAATAACAGTGGCTACAAGGAGGTGAACTTAGGCAGGTTTTCAGAACTCTGGAGAAATAGGAAAGGATTTGAGAAATTGGACAAAGGCAAGGATACTGCACACTGCCCTAACTCCCTTTGAAAAGCCTCTGGCTCGGCTTCAGACAGCCAATACAATTTTACTGGGTGATGCTTTCAATTGGCCTTTAACATCTGATTTCCACATTGTCTTCCTCGGCAATGACAACTGAAAGTTAGCATTGAGTTAAAACTTCTTTGATGTGAACTACAAGATGTGGAAGTAGCACCTCTTAGATTTACCACTTTTCTCCATGATACTGGGCAGGGGAGTGAAATGAGAGCAAAGTCTCCACCATGAGAAATGGAAAAGGTAAAGGAAAACAGAGACACTGAGTTGCTTAAAATAATATGGGAGCTGTTACATCCGTCAGGAATAACATGTTACATAATTTGAGTTTCATGAATCAGCAGTTTAGTCAGTAATTTACATTAATTTTTTTAAAAAAGAGAAAACATGAGAATTGGAAAAGGTAAAGTGGTTTCTGAAACAAGGCAGGTTTCAAAGGTATTTTATTCCACTCCCACACAAAAAAGCGTTGACAGGCAGATGACTCTGTCTTCATTAAGGGTTTCTTACTGCCTAATACACCTCATGGGAAAGGCCATCCCATCTCTCATCTCTCCCTGATAACCCTTCTCAATTCCTCCCGCCAGATAATGACCATATTATCCTCTCTAATTGAAGGTTATCCACTTGGAAATCACATACTTTAGGTACAGAGGGCTATGCTTAAAGCATATAAATAGTTGAGGAATTTTGTGTGTATTTTTTAAGACCCTTTATGCTAAAGTCATTGCAATATTTCAGTAAAACACATAGTTTTATTTCAAAAATATTTACAATACCTATGATCACTGAGTTTGAACTTGATCATAAATCTAAGTAGTTCAGAGAGATAAGTAAGCTGTGGCCAGGTACAGTGGTTCACACCTTGGGAGGCCAAGTGGACGGATCTTGAGGTCAGGGGTTTGAGACCACCCTGACCAACATGGTGACACCCTGTCTCTACTAAAAACACACAAAAAAAATGCTGTGGTGGCATGCGCCTGTAGTCCCAGCTACTCAGGCTACTCAGCTACTCAGTCCCAGGCTGAGGCAGGAGAATTGCTTGAACCCGGGAGGCAGAGGTTGCAGCGAGCCTAGGCTGCGCTATTGCACTCCAGCCTGGGCAAAACAGCAAGACTCTGTCTCAAAAAAAAAAAAAAAGAAAGAAAGAAAGAAAAAAAGAAGGCTGTCAACACGAACTTAAATACCATGTGTCTGTTCTAAACTCTCAAAATCAGAGAAAAAAAGTAGGATGAAAGAAACACCCCACCTATTTTCTTTTTCAAAAACCAGAGGTGGCAAATCCTAAGAAATGAGTCCAAGGGCATTCCCATCCTTTTTGTAGAAAATGTGCTGTATCAGATACTGTTTGAAATAAGAGAGGCATTGGACTAGGCCTGGAAAATCTCTCAGGCATAAATCAATTACTATGGTATTTTGAGAGACATGTTTTGAAGAGCAAGGTATCCGAAGCCATGAAGAGTCATTCATTCCACAGATGTTTATTACAGGCCTGCACGTGCCAGGCACTGTCCACACACCTGCCCTCCATTCAAGCTCTGCCTCTCACCTGCTGTGCAATCCAGGCTAAAGCACTTTAACATTTCTATGCCTCAGTTTCTCCACCTGTAAAAACAGGTAATAAAAAGTAGTTAAGAGATCAACTACACAGATCTCTCTGAAGGGTAAATGAGTATGTCTGGAAGCACTTTGCAAGCCATGAAAATGCCAGGGGTCATCTGGCTAAACTGAATTCACGAATGACACTAATGCCTGTTGTGCCATAAATTATTACTATATCAGAGGAACATGAGCCTTTTTGCTTCAAGAGACACTTCATCATCCTATTAAATAAGGCTTATCGGCTCACTTAATCATCTCCCTGAAAAGTTAAATATATGAGAGAGAGATAAGGGAGGGGGCGCAGAAAGGGAGGGAGGGGGCGCAGAAAGGGAGAGAGGGAGTCAGAAAGCTAGTCTGATGTGCAGATTTTGACATTACATTCATAGTCACCATAATTACAAGAATCATGTCTATCTTAGTCACCCCATTGGGTCTCTAATGGTGCACATTTGAAGAGGGCATGTTATTCTGAAAAAATATCCTCTCTGAATATCTGCAAATCACAAAATGTACACTTATGAGGCTGACCTACCAATTCAATGTTTCCAAGAGCAAATAGCAGTAAAATTACAAAACGTTGTTTGTTATATTGATGTGTGCAAACAAAAATGTTCTATTTTATAGTACATTTCAAGTTCAATCTGACCCTCATATCTAAACTATGTCATATAAATAATTTCATATAAATAATGTCGAACAGATTAGGAACAAAGCTCTTTTCAAAAACAAAAGTAGGCTCCATGCAGTGGCAGTTAAAGAAGGGGAAGTTCCGGTGTCTCCAGAGTTAGCCGATGGGCACAATGGCAGTTGACAGAGACCATGTTACACAAGTCATTCATGTTCTGGCCAACACCACTTTGAACAGGTCGCATTCCCAGGAGCTTCAGGCTCCCTTACCCCAGGGAAATGCAGGGGTGGTGGCTTGTCTTACAGAAGTGGTAGCCAAGGGGACCAGCGGCACACCCGGTGCTAAAACACGCCTAAAACTTCTTCTAATGTTTATAGCTCTTCCAACGACATTTGGGGAACTAAAGTATGGATAACCTCTTCATTGCTAGAACCGCTATAATATGTTGAGTTAATAATTTGATTTAATATTTATAAAGCACTTAGAAAGAGCCCAGCGCATAGTAAGAACTATGTAAGTGTTTGGTAAATAAAGAAGGCACCTCCCAGATTGGCTGGGTGAAGTCTCAATCTGGTGAGAAGGGAGAGAATCAAAATACACAACAGTCTTTTTTTCACTTTGACAAAGATTTAGAAATTACAGTGCTCTGTATTTATTTTGCACCCAAGTGCACCCTAAGTAGTCTCTGGTGCAGGACTGAAATTCTACTCATGGTTCAGAAGTCACTGTGCACAACTCAACGAAAGCGTTTTAAGTTTCATGAGATGATTCCTTTCTCTTTTCTCTTTCCAAGTAACGATGACTAAAAATGACAGAATCTAAAAATCTCAAAGCACTTCTAGTGGGTACATGCCCATGGCTAAAACTGAGAATTAACAGGGCCAGATTCACTTGAAGAGACGTAAGGGTTCAAATCACAGAGAACTTAAAAGATGCAACGTGTTAAGATCTCTTACTACACATCCGCTGACAACAGGTTAAACGATTCCATCCACCCCACTCTGGCGCCTGCCCCCTCCCCGACCCTCGCAGGTGACCTGCACCCACTTTCAGCTCGGCGTTCCCGGCTCCTCCAGGCTCGGCGGCTGCGTGCGGGTTAACAAGGTCCAGCCACCGACACCCCTTGGACGTTTAGGAATCTCGAGGAAGGATCTGAATTCACCTCGTGGAAACAAAGACCACAAACTCTCCAGGAGCCGGGGGCTGGGCGGGGGTACGGCTTTTTCCGAGGACAGGCAGCGGCCGAGGCCCGGGCGGCCCTCGCCCCGCCCCGTTTCCTCCCGCCCCGGGCCGCCGTCTGAGTCCCGGGCGCGCGGACCCTCCCGCCGGTCCCGCACCTACCCGGCCCCGCGGTGCTACTCCCGGCGCAGTGGGCGCGGAGCCGAACGCACTGCGCTTCCTCCTTCCCGGCAGGGCTGCCGGGCGCCGGCGTTTCCTCCTTGACGCGTCACGGCCGCCGGCGGCTCCTCCCGCGGAGCGTGCGGGAGGCCGAGGACAGCCGGGGAAGGCGCCGGATCCCAGCAGAGCGGCGCGAGCGGCGGGTCGGGGGCAGCCCGTGCGGGGAGGGGCTGCAGGCTGCGTCCGGCTCAGGCCTCCGAAGAAGCCCGCGCTCCTCTCTCTTCCCCGAGGACCCCCGCGAAAGGCCGGGCCGCGGTGCGCTGTCTGCCCCCGTCACGCGCTGTGCAAAGTTCAAGAGGACACGGTGGGTCCTGTCTGGAGTCACAGACTCCGGTGTTTCCCGCTGCTGCGCCCTCAGTGGCCGCTACCCTGGGGCTCAAGACCCGCACGGGCCAAAGCACCAGGGCCCAGCGGAGATGACCTGGTGTGTGCAGGGATCAGGACCCCCCGGGTCAGCCCGGGGTGTTGGGGATTGGCTTGGTGTAAACTGGAAACTCAGAGGAGTGAATTAAGTATCCAAATAATTGAGAATAACTGTGATTCACTTAGCATTATTTGGACAGTTTTCCACTTTTTTCATTAGCAGAGTTACGGCCCTTGTGTTTATAAACAGTGGAGAACTTTCACAAATTGGCAGATCCTATGTGCAGAGAAATTTCTTTTCCTACATCTTTTTAGATCTACTTTTTATTCCCATTAATCTCCAAGTCAGCCGAGTGCACACTTTACAGCTCCTTATTACTCATTCTTGAATTACAGAAGTTGCATTTTAGACCTGTTTCTCTCTTTTAACAGATAGAGAAGCTGAATGGAGAACTAAGAATTACATGGTTCAATGGATGTGGAGTCAAGTGGTTAAGATTTTAAAGTAGAGTGGGTTGTTTTCTTCGTCCCACGACACTACTATAATTTAGGTCTTATCAGATATCACTTGAAGATAGACTCAGACAACTACTTAAAGATTCCCATGTGCATATCATGCCTTAGATTTTGAGACAATGATTTGTACTTTAGATCATATGATTCCAGAGAACTTGCCACAAATCTATGAACAAATAAAGTGCCAAAGGTTTTTAGAGGAAGTCGGATCTATGTGTGACTTCCCTAAATTCAGAAGACATTTCCTCATGTTTTAAAATGATATTCAAAGATTTAGCCCCACAAGTATGGGTAAGAACATTCATTTTTAATGTCAATAACCACAATATGGCCTCTCTTTAAAAAGTGGATTGCGAATCCAAATACATTTTATACTTCAGTAATCCTACAGAACTTTCTAAACAGTAGTTTTCAGAAATGAATATAAGAATACAGTAGATACAAATCAACACGTTGCCAGTGGTCCTTTTTATGTTTTACTGTGGTCCACAAAGCAGTCCACATAGATTAGAGAAGTTCCTCCCTTGTAACAAAATCAACAAGTGATCAGTGTATCTCTTAATTAAAGCCATATTCACAGTGCTGGAGATTTCTCAGACAAAAGGAAGTTCTGTGTCAATAAACTCCAAGTGGAATGACATCATTCTCACTTTAGAGACAAACACCTGGCTATCACCACATTTTGACTTTTTTAAAAAATAAACATCTGGGAACCACTACAACATTTCTCGATAAATTTGTCCTATTGTGAAGAACACACACACACACACACGGAGATCACCTCCCATAAACATTTTATGTATTTTCTTTTCTTTTTTTTTTTTTTAAGAGACGGGTTTCACTGTGTTGCTGAGGCTGGGTTCAATTGATCAGCTGACAAGATGTTAGGCATTTTGCCTTTACAGTCTGAGAGCTGCAGTTTAATAGCTAGATTTCTCAAAAAGCTAGAGGAGGTAAATATATTCACAGACTACTAAGGACTTTTTCACTGTAATTAAATTAGTTTTTTTCTTTCTTTCTTTTTTTTTTTTTTTTGAGACAGAGTCTCACTTTTGTTGCCCAGGCTGGAGTGCAATGGCACGATCTCAGGTCACTGCAACCTCCTCCGACTTCCAGGTTCAAGCGATTCTCCTGCTTCAACATCCCGAGTAGCTGTGATTACAGGCGCCTGCCACCATGCCCAGCTAATGTTTTGTATCTTTAGTAGAGACAGGTTTTCGCCATGTTGGCCAGGCTGGTCTTGAACATCTTACCTCAGGTGAGCCACCTCCCTTGGCCTCCCAAAGTGCTGGGATTACAGGCATGAGCCACCACACCCAGTCTAAAATTGGTTTTAAGGGCAAATGTTAAGGCTGATTTCTTTGTTGTTGTTGTTTTGGTTGTTTTTTTTGAGAAAGGGTCTCACTCTGTCACCCAAACTGGAGTGCAGTGGCATGATCTCAGCTGACCGCAACCTCTGCCTCCCAATTCTCCTGCCTCAGCCTCCCCAGTAGCTGGGATTACAAGCATGCGCCACCACGCCCAGCTAATTTTTGTATTTTCAGTAGAGACAGGGTTTCACTATGTCGGCCAGGCTGGTCTCGAACTCTTGACTTCAAATGATCCACCTGCCTCAGCCTCCCAAAGTGCCGGGATTACAGGCTTCAGCCACCACACCCGGCCAAGGCTGATCACTTTGATTAATCATATTCACCTATAGATAGATATATAGGTTATATCCCCATTTTCTGTTATGTTTCCAAGTTTAGACTGTAAAAAAAAAAAGTTGTTGAATGTTCAGCTAAATGTCTAGCTGATGTTTATACCTTTATGAAATATTTCATGTAAATAAATTTTTAAAATAGAGCTTTTTATCAGACTATGGGTCCCAATACTTTCTTTGAAAATATGATTCTGTTCATTCAGATAGGGCAAATATTTTGTTCATCTGTTTTATCTATAGTATAGAGATTTTGAACACAAGCTTTGGAATTGGACAGACCCAGGTTTAACTCCTGGTTTGCCACTTTCTGCTTTGGGCAAATTGTTTCACTTCTCTGAGCACTGGTTTCGTCAGTAACCTGGGGATAATAGTGCTTTTTCCTCTTCAGTAAAACAGAGATAATAGTGCTAATCTCATGAAATTGCTATGAGGATCAAATGAATTTAGTAGAATGCCTGTAACATAATGTCAAGTGACTGCTATTGTCATCATTATTAGCTCTAAAACACATATTAAAATGCCAATGTTATATATATTTCATTTGTAATAGTATTAAAATGGCCAGGTTTTAGAAATTTTGGCGGTGGCTCATGCCTGTAATCCCAGCACTTTGGGAGGCTGAGCTGGGTGGATCACAAGGTCAGGAGTTCGAGACCAGCCTGGCCAACATAATGAAACCCCGTATCTACTAAAAATACATAAAACTAGCCAGGCGTGGTGGCAGGCACCTGTAATCCCAGCTACTTGGGAGGCTGAGGCAGGAGAATCGCTTGAACCCAGGAGGTGGAGGTAGCAGTGAGCTGAGATCACGCCATTGCACTCCAACCCTGGGCGACAGTGTGAGATTCCGTCTCAACAAACAAACAAACAAACAAAAACCAACTACCCAGCCATATAATATGGTTATTATGATTATTTTAGATCATATATTGCAATGAAATGAATGCTTGGTTTTCATTCTCCACTATTCACAATGGGAAACCTTTTCTCTAAAATGGTGGCTTATGTGGAAGCATTATTACTTTTTTATATCATAATAAAACCCTCTGTAGTTCTTTTATCAGAATCTTGGAAGAAGTGAGGGCTATAAAAATACAAGAAATATCACTTCCATTAGTGAGGGCTGCTATTCATTAGAATACTTGTTTTTTGCCAGGCACAGTGGCTCATGCGTGTAATCCCAGAACTTTGGGAGGCCAAGGCAGGCAGATCACCTGAGGTCAGGAGTTCAAGACCAGCCTTGCCAACATGGTGAAACGTTGTCTCTACTAAAAATACAAAATTAGCCAGGTGTGGTGGGTGCCTGTAATCCCAGCTACTCAGGAGGCTGAGGCAGGAGAATCGCTTGAACCCGGGAGGCGGAGGTTGCAGTGAGCCGAGATTGCACCACTGCACCCCAGCCTGGGCAATAAAGCGAAACTCCATCTCAAAAAAAAAAAAAAAAAAAAAAAAGGAATACTTGTTTTATAGCAGATAAAATGTTAAGTCTAGAGAGATAAGAATAATCCTACCAACTGTATGCTTACAAAAGCAAAACACTTTCTGGTTTGTTTTGTTTTTTGAGACAGGATTTCATTCTGTCACCCACCAGGCTGGAGTGCAGTGGTGTGATCTCGGCTCACTGCAGCCTCGAGTCCCTGCGTTCAAGCCATCCTTCCACCTCCTGAGTTGTTGGAACTACAGGCTCGTGCCACCACCTCAACTAATTTTTAAACTTTTTTGTAGAGTCAGGGTCCCACTATGTTGCCCAGGCTGGTCTTGAACTCCTGGCATCAAATGATCCTCCTACGTTGGCTTTGAAAAATGCTAGGATTACAGGTGTGAGCCACCTCGCCCAGCCTCGCAAAGGATGGTTTTGATTCATATTATTTGCATTGCTTTTTAGAGTACCTTTTCCCTCATTCTGCTACAGACTCACCTGCTAAAGTGGGTCAGACACCATAAGTTGTTGCTACAGTTTCTAGCTGTGTTTATCAGCTGACATTCTAATCGCAACATTCCACAGTATCAAATAAAATAAAACCATTTTTGTGGAGAAGATAGTTAAAAAACATAATCCTAACTATGAATTGGCTCAGATTGTAATAATTAAAAGGAAAAGCTTGCTGTAAAAATGGGTAAAAATATGGGGAAACAAAAGTGACTAATTTATTAAATTTTCTTTTTTTGAGATGGAATTTTGCTGTGTCACCCAGGCTGGAGTGCAGTGGTGCGATCTCAGCTCACTGCAGCCTCTGCCTCCTGGATTCAAGGAATTCTTCTGCCTCAGCCTCCCAAGTAGCTGGGACTACAAGTGCACACCACCACACCTGGCTAATTTTTGTATTTCTCGTCGAGACAGGATTTCACCATTTTAGCCAGGCTGATCTTGAACTCCTGACCTCAATTAATCTGCCCACCTCAGCTTCTCGAAGTGTTGAGATTACAGGTGTGAGCCACTGAGCCTGGCCTAAATTTTCTTTTCTTCTTCTTCTTTTTTTTTTTTTTTTTTGTTTTTCTTTCTCTCTCTCTCTTTTTTTTTTCGAGACAGGGTCCCACTTTTTTTTTTTTTTAGAGATAGGGTCTCACTCTGTTGCCCAGGTTGGAGTGCAGTGACACAACCATGGCTCACTGCAGCCTCGACCTCCAGGGCTCAAGCAATCCTCCCACCTCAGCCCCCCCAAGTAGCACCACAGGTGCACACCAACACGCCTGGCTAATTTTTTTATTTTTGCAGAGACAGGGTCTCCCTATGTTGCCCAGGTTGGTCTCAAACCCCTGGGCTCAAGTCATCCTCCCACCTTGGCCTCCCAAAGTGCTGGAATTACTCGTGGGAGCCACCATGCCCAGCTGACTAATTTATTAAATTTTCTGAGTAAAACAATTTAATAAAATACAAAGCAACCCAAGATACAGTTAGAAAAACGCAGGCCAGTAGTGGTGGCTTTTATGCCTATAATCCCAGCAGTTTGGGAGGCCGACATGGGAGGATCCCTTAAGCCCAGGAGTTTGAGACCATCCTGGGTAACAAAGTGAGACCCCTCCCCATCTCTATAAAAAAAAATTAGCTGAGTATGGTGGTGCACACCTGTAGTCCCTGCTACTTGGCAGGCTGAGGTGGGAGGATCGCTTAAGCTCAGGAGGTCAAGGCTTCAGCGAGCTATGATTGCCCCACTGCAGTCCAACATGGGCAACAGAGGGAGACCCTGTGTTTAAAAACAACAACCAAAAAAACCCTCAGTGGCCGAGCACGCTGGCTCACACCTGTAATCCCAGTACTTTGGGAGGCCAAGGCAGGCAGATCACCTGAGGTCAGGAGTTTGAGACCAGCCTGACCAATATGATGAAACCCCGTCTCTACTAAAAATACAAAAATTAGTCAGGCATGGTGGCATGCGCCTGTAATCCCAGCTACTCGGGAGGCTGAGACAGGAGAATCGCTTGAACCTGGGAGGTAGAGGTTGCAGTGAGCTGAGATGGTGCCATTGCACTCCAGCCTGGGCAACAAGAGCAAAACTCTGTCTGAAAAAAAAAAAAAAACAACCCTCAGTTGGGCAGGTGCAGTGGCTGACACCTGTAATCCCAGCACTTTGGGAGGCCGAGGCAAGCGGATCACTTGAGGTCAGGAGTTTGAGACCAGAGTGGCCAACATGGTGAAGCCCTGTCTCTACTAAAAATACAAAAATTAGCTGGGCATGATGGTGTGCCCCTGTAATCCCAGCTACTTGGGAGGTTGAGGCAGGAGAATCGCTTGAACCCGGGAGGGGGCGGTTGCAGTGAGTTAAGATTGTGCCACTGTACCCCAACTGGGTGACAGAGTAAGACTGTATCTCAACAACAACAACAACAACAAAACAAAAACAAAAAAACACCTGATGGGAACTGAAATTGAGAGCAATTAATGCCTCTTTAGCACAGAGCAGAATTAACTTGTTTCTTTGATTCGGAAAATGGTTCAGCATGTGTTCGTTTTGTCGGGTGGGGGTATAGGTGTATAGGTGGGAGGCCCAAAGCTGAACATCATTTCTTGGGCCAAATTAGCCAAGTTCAAACTCAAAACTGAAATGCTTGAAGTTCAAGTGTGTTTCATAACAGGGAAGAAACTATTTTAAAACAAGACTACATTAGGATCAAATATAAGGCTTTTCAGATCACAGGACTTTCTCACTTTCTATATTAGACTCATGACAAAAATCAAGGGGAAGTGTTAGGAGATCAGAACCTTAAACTGCTAGCATCAGCTTTTTGATAAAAAGTAGCTAGAAATTATTTTCAATTTCCTGGCTGGGTGCAGTGGCTCACGCCTGTAATCCCAGCACTTTGGGAGGCCGAGGCAGGCAGATCACGAGGTCAGGAGATCAAGACCATCTTGGCTAACACAGTGAAACCCCATCTCTACTAAAAATCCCCAAAAAAAAAAAAAAATTAGCCAGGCGTCGTGGCAGGCACCTGTAGTCCCAGCTATTCAGAGGCTGAGGCAGCAGAATGGTGTGGACCCAGGAGGCGGAGCTTGCAGTGAGCTGAGATTGCGCCACTGCACTCCAGCCTGGGCAACAGAGCGAGACTCCGTCTCAAAAAAATAAAAAATAAAAAATAAAAATAAATTTCCCTAAGACCATTAATTATCTAAAATAATATTATTATATTTTCCTATTAGGGAAATCTCATTGTCTTCCAATCTAGTTTTTATGAGTATAAAGAATAAAACATAAATCATTCATTTTTCTCTCTTTTTTTTCTGTATCTCATTTAGTCTATTATGTACATAAAATAAAAGTCTGTTAATAGTTGACGATAACTTATTTACATAAGTCATGTCAGCAGTTTCTATGTCCAGAGGATCATAATAGTGTAGGTGGACTAAACCTGCTAGGTGGACTTTGAAGATAACTATTATTTCAGTTGCTTATCAGTAGAGAATAATAGCTTTTCTTAAACACTGTTCATTTGGTGACTCAGTTATTTACTTCTATTATGTGCAATTAATGATTGAACCTATTTCAAATGCAAGGGCTTAATAGCTTCTGGCATAAAGAGAGGCGTTGCTGTTATTTCCTTAACAAATTCTCTAAGGAATCTGTGTCTGGCCCAACCAGATGTGTCAAAGACTTAAGTAGACCTGAAGAAATTATAACTCTTCATACACAAGAAGACTCTTAAATTCCCCTAAGTTTTTTAAGATAAACAACCCCAGTTCTTTTAACTTTTTCTCTCATTTTTTTAAATGTTTTACGACTCTCATAGGAGTTTTTCCCAAATTTTCTCCATGTTTTCTTTAGATTTTAGAGGAGATGCCCAGTATGAACCATGGAATTCTATAAAGGATCAAGTAAGTCCTAAGTATCATGGAATGCAGTGGTGCGATCTCAGCTCACTTCGACCTCCACTTCCTGAGTTTAAGCAATTCTCCTGCCTCAGCCTCCCAAGTAGCTGGGAATACAGGCACCTGCCACCATGCTGGGCTAATTTTTGTATTTTTAATAGAGACAGAGTTTCACTATGTTGGTCAGGCTACTCTTGAACTCCTGACCTCAGGTGATCTGCCTGCCTTGGCCTCCCAAAGTGCTGGGGTTACAGGCGTGAGCCACCGCACCTGGCCAGTTCACACTCTTATAATGCAGCCTTGTGTTAATCTTACATTTAAAATTACATTTCAAAAAAATTACATTTCATCATTATCAGAAATTAAAATCTAAACTTGGCCTCCTTTTATTTCTCAAATTATATTTAGGAAGTTGTTTTGATTATCCTATGTAATTCCTCTGTATCTGTTTTGCTGAAACTGTATTTCTCCTGGATAATTTTAAATTTCTTCATATTTGCTAAGGCAAATGGTATTGAAAGTGGAGAGTGGACATCCAAAGGGTGCTCAAGGCAATCTACTACAAGTTCAGAAAGAACAGAAAGAAAATATTGCAACATCCATTTGTTTTCTCTAAAAAGTAAGAAACAGACCAGGTTGGCTCATGCCTGAAATCCCAGCACTTTGGGAGGCTAAGGCAGGCAGATCACTTGAGCTCAGGAGTTCAAGACCAACCTGGGCAACATGATGATACGCCGTCTCTACAAAAACATAAAACTTAGTTGGGCGTGATGGTGTGCATCTGTAATCCCAGCTACTCGGTGTGCATCTGTAATCCCAGCTACTCAGAATGCTGAGGTAGGAGGATGGCTTGAGTCTGGGAAACAGAGGTTGCATTGAGCCAAGATCACACCATTGCACTCCAGCCTGGGTGACAGAGTGAAATCCTGTCTAAAAAGAAAGAAAGAAAAAAATTAAGCTTTATTATTTAACATAAATGTGACACTGGCATGCTCATACAGTCCTTTGTCAGTTATGTCAGAGGTGTGCTGTGTGAGGTAACCTGAGAAGGACAGACTTTCCACAATTGAAAGGGTTGACTGGGTGCCCTAGTTCATCCACAATCAGTATTGCAGTTTTGTGTAGTACAGGACATCATTGATGTGGTTAATTTTGTAAAACTAAATCCCTTCAATAGAATCTACATAATACTTTATGCTGAGATGGGGAGTGATTGTGAAAACTTTTTATTTTCTAGCAAAGTATTCAAGATACTCGAAGTGAAAAGCACAGATCCTGGACACACACTGCCTAGGTTCTGACCACAGTTCTGCCATCACCAGCCATGTAATCCCGGGAAAATCATTTAACTCTCTGAGGTTCAGTTTCTTCATCTGTGGAATGAAGATAATAGTATCTGCTGCATTGAGTTGTTCTGGGGATGAAGTGAGTTGATACATATGTATATAAAAATCTCTTAGTATAATATCTACTACCAAGAACAGATTTACACAAGCTCTGGTTGTTATTACTTAAAAGAGTATTTGACTATCAAGAAGAATTATGCATTTTCGCTGACAAAAAATATAAGTGATTCAGATTTCTTTACCTTTTCTGTGATAATCCCTGTGGGTTATATTCTATGTAGAGGATATTAAACACACATATTTTCTTTTCTTTTCTTTTTTTTTTTTTTGAGACAGAGTTTTGCTCCTGTTGCCCAGGCTGGAATGCAATGGCGTGATCTTGGCTCACCGCAACCTCAGCCTCCTGGGTTCAAATTATTCTCCTGCCCTCAACCTCCTGAGTAGCTAAGATTACAGGCATGTGCCACCCCGCCTGGCTTATTTTGTGTTTTTATTAGAGATAAGGTTTCGCCATGTTAGTCAGGCTGGTTTCGAACTCCTGACCTCAGGTGATCTGCGCGCCTCGGCCTCCCGAAGTGCTGGGGTTACAGATGTGAGCCACCGTGCTCAGCCGCACATTTTCTTTTAAGGTAAAGTTTTAGCAATGAGTGAGAGATTAACTTCCTTCCTTCCCACTCCCTTTAGTGTAGATGGGTTTTGAAATAAACACTTTGGGCCGGGCGCGGTGGCTCACGCCTGTAATCCCAGCACTTTGGGAGGCCGAGGCGGGCGGATCACAAGGTCAGGAGATCGAGACCACGGTGAAACCCCGTCTCTACTAAAAATACAAAAAATTAGCCGGGCGCGGTGGCGGGCGCCTGTAGTCCCAGCTACTCAGGAGGCTGAGGCAGGAGAATGGCGTAAACCCAGGAGGCGGAGCTTGCAGTGAGCTGAGATCGCGCCACTGCACTCCAGCCTGGGCGACAGAGCGAGACTCCATCTCAAAAAACAAAAAAAAAAAAAAAAAGAAAGAAAGAAATAAACACTTTGGAGAGAGTGTCTTGGAAATATTTCCATCAGTATGTGACTTTGTTGCATGGGAAACTGTGTGTATGTGTGTGTGTGTCCTATTAAAACTCTAATATATACATTGCACTGGAATTTTTGAAACACAATTTTCTACTTGTTTAAACATTTTCCAATTAATGCATTTCAGTGGGTCTTAAAATTTATTTGTTGAAAAAATAAAAGGCAGTGTCTTTAAATTCATTTACAGGAATTACTGACTGAGGCTGGGCACAGTGGCTCATGCCTGTAATCCCAGCACTTTGGGAGGCTGAGTAGGAGGGGTGGATCACTTGAGCCCAGGAGTTTGAGGCCAGCCTGGGCAACGCAGCGAGACCCCATCTCTATTAAAGAGAAAGGGGGGGGGAAGGAGAGAGAGAGGGGAGGGAGGGAGGGAGGAAGGGAGGAAGGAAGGAAGGAAGGAAGGAAGGAAGGAAGGAAGGAAGGAAGGAAGGAAGGAAGGAAGGAAGGAAGGGCGAGGGAGGGAGGGAGGGAAGGAAGGAAGGAAGGAATTACTGACTGACAGCAGAGAGAATGGAAATGTACTAGTCAAACTTCAACAAAAACCTTTACAGAACTGGATGATGGGACTAAAAGAAAATAAGTACTTTAATAGATATAGCCAATAAGAGTGCATCTCTTCCTCTATCTTTATGAAATATCTTTTCATCTATGACAGCCATTAAAGTGAAGTATTAGAATAACTAAACTTAAAATTAGACTTTCTAATGGTTGTATCACAAAGTGTTACATCAAGATTTTTTTTTTTTTTAACTGAGACAGAGTCTTGCTCTGTCGCCCAGGCTGGAGTGCAGTGGCACGATCTCGGCTCACTGCAAGCTCTGCCTCCTGGGTTCACACCATTCTCCTGCCTCAGCCTCCTGAGTAGCTGGGACTACAAGTGCCTGCCACCACACCTAGCTAATTTTTCGTATTTTTAGTAGAGACAGGGTTTCACCGTGTTAGCCAGATGGTGTCAATCTCCCGACCTCGTGATCCGTCTGCCTTGGCCTCCCAAAGTGCTGGCATGAGCCACCGTGCCAGGCCAAATCAGTATTTTTTAAAAGTAATAAAGTAAAATCAAGTGAAACCAAAGGCTTTTTTTTTTTTTTTTTTTTTTTTATGAAACTGAGTTTTGCTCTTGTCCAGGATGGAGTGCAATGGCGCGATCTCAGCTCACTGCAACCTCCACCTCCCAGGTTCAAGCAATTCTCCTGTCTCAGCCTCCTAAGTAGCTGGGATTACAGGCATGCGCCACCACACCTGGCTAATTTATTTATTTATTATTATTTTTTGAGACAGAGTGTCACTCTGTTGCCCACGCTAGAGTGCAGTGGTACGATCTTGGTTCACTGCAACCTCCACCAAATGGGTTCAAGCGATTCTCCTGCCTCAGCCTCCCAAGTAGCTGGGATTACAGGTGCCCATAATCACGCCCAGCTAATTTTTGTATTTTTTAGTAGAGAAGGGGTTTCACCATCTTGGCCAGGCTGGTCTCGAACACTTGACCTCTTGATCCACGCGTCTCAGCCTCCCAAAGTGCTGGGATTACAGGTGTGAGCCACTGCACACAGCCTTTTTTTTTTTTTTTTTTTTTTGAGATGGAGTCTCACTCTGTCTTCCAGGCTGGAGTGCAGTGGTGCAATCTTGGCTCATCGCAACCTCCACCTCCTGGGTTCAAGCAATTCTCCTGCCTCAGCCTCCCAAGTAGTTGGGATTACAGGTGTGTGCCACCATGCCCAGCTAATTTTTTGTATTTTTAGTAGAGATGGGGTGTCACCATGTTGGCCAGCCTGGTCTCAAACTCCTGACCTCACGTGATCCACCTGCCTCAGCCTCCCAAAATGATGGGATTACAGGCGTGAGCCACCTCACCTGGCTGCAAAAAGGCTTTTATTTTATTTATTTATTTTGAGACGGAGTGTCACTCTGTCGCCAGGCTGGAGTGCAGTGGCACAGTCTCGGCTCACTGCAACCTCCACCTCTGGGATTCAAGCAATTCTCCTGCCTCAGCCTTCCGAGTAGCTGGGACTACAGGTGCCTGCCACCACACCCGGCTAATTTTTTGTATTTTAGTAGAGACGGGGTTTCACCATGTTGGCCAGGATGGTCTCAATGTCCTGACTGCGTAATCCACCCGCCTCGGCCTCCCAAAGTGCTGGGATTTACAGGCCTGAGCCACCGTGCCTGGCCAAAAAGGCTTTTATACTATTAATAAAATACTATTGGGCCGGGCGCGGTGACTCATGCCTGTAATTTCAGCACTTTGGGAGGCCAAGGTGGGTGGATCACGAGGTCAGGAGTTTGAGGCCGGCCTGGTCAGCACGGTGAAACCCCATCTTTACTAAAAATACGAAAATTAGCCTGGCGTGGTGACAGGTGCCTGTAATCCCAGCTACTTGAGAGGCTGAGGCAGGAGAATGGCTTGAACCCGGAGGCAGAGGTTGCAGTGAGGTGAGATCATGCCATTGCACTCCAGCCTGGGTGACAGAGCGAGACTCCATCTCAAAAAAAAAAAAAAAAAAAAAATACTATTAAGGCCAGGTACAGCGACGCACACCTGTAATCCCAGTACTTTGGGAGGCTGCAGTGGGTGGATTGCTTGAGGCCAGGAGTTCAAGACCAGCCTGGGCAACACATCAAGACTCCATCTCTACAAAAAAAAAAAAAAAAAAAGGCTGGGGCCGGGTGTGGTGGCTCACACCTATATAATCCCAGCACTTTGGGAGGCCAAGGCAGGTGGATCACTTGAGCTTAGGAGTTCGAGACCAGCCTTGGCAACATGGTGAAATTCTGTCTCGACCAAAAATAGAAAACATTAGCCAGGTGTGGTGACACATGCCTGAGTCCCAGGTACTTGGGAGTCTGAGGTGGAAGGATCACTTGAACCTGGAGGCAGAGGTTGCAGTGAGCTGAGATCACACCACTGCACTCCACCCTGAGTGACAGAGTGAGACCCTGTCTCAATAAAGAAAAAAAAAAATTGGCCAGCTATGGTGGTGCAGGCCTGTTAGCTACCCAGGAGGCTGAGGCAGGAGGATCACTTGAGCCCAGGAGTTTAAGGCTGGAGTGAAGTGAGCTATGATGGCACGGATGCACTCCAGCCTGTGTGACAGAGTAAGACCTCATCTCTAAAACTGAAAATTGGCTGGGCACGGTGGCTCAGGCCTGTAATCCCAGCACTTTGGGAGGCCGAGACGGGCGGATCACGAGGTCAGGAGATCGAGACCATCCTGGCTAACATGGCGAAACCCCGTCTCTACTAAAAAATACAAAGAACTAGCTGGGCGAGGTGGCGGGCGCCTGTAGTCCCAGCTACTCGGGAGGCTGAGGCAGGAGAATGGCGTAAACCTGGGAGGGGGAGCTTGCAGTGAGCCGAGATCTGGCCACTGCACTCCAGCCTGGGCGACAGAGCAAGACTCCATCTCAAAAAAAAAATATATATATATATATGTGTGTGTGTGTGTGTGTGTGTGTGTATATATTCCTTCTTCCAATAACTATTTGTCCAGTACCTAGTATGTGCCAGGTACTGTGCTACGCTCAGAGAGGTAAAATTTTAAAATATCATCACCATGCTCAAATGGCACTTTATAACATTGTTGGGTACTGGGGTTTAATACCTGGGTCATCAAATAATCTATACAACAAATACCCAGGACATGAGTTTATCTGTGTAACAAACCTTCACATGTACCTCCTTCCCCTGACTCCACTCCCAGGCTTTTTTTTTTTTTTTTTTTTGATACAGGGTCTCTCTTTGTCTCCCACGCTGGAGTGCAGTGGCATGATCTTGTCTCACTGGAGCCTCAGTTTCCTGGACTCAGGTAATCCGTCCACCTCAGTCTCCTGGGTAGCTGGGACTACAGGTGTACACTACAACACCCAGCTAATCCAGGCCTTTAAATAGCTAATAATCTGCTAGGGATTGGAATTTGAATCTGAATCTGGCCATCTGAACAGGCACTTAGTTTTTATATAGTTTAAATGAGCCACTTACGATGTCTCTTCTAGATATCTGCAAGGTGCTTTTATGACAGTCATGTGCAGATTTCCTCTGCAAAGCCCTGTGTTAAGACATAAGGTACAAGGCACAAAGATACACTGTGTTTGTCAGGGATTTTATTTTATTTTATTTTATTATTTATTTATTTATTTATTGAGACAGAGTTTCGCTCTTGTTGCCCAGACTGGAGTGCAATGGCACGATCTCAGCTCACTGCAACCTCTGCCTCCCAGGTTCAAGCAATTCTCCCGCCTCAGCCTCCCAAGTAGCTGTAGATTGGACTGCAGCATGCGCCACCACGTCCAGCTAATTTTGTATTTTTAGTAAAGATGGGGTTTCTCCATGTTGGGCAGGCTGGTCTCGAGTTCCCGACTTCAGGTGATCCACCCACCCTGGCCTCCCAAAATGCTGGGATGACAGGTGTGAGTCACCACGCCTGGCCTTATAGGGGATTTTAAATCCTTGGTATAAAATGATGAAAAGTGAAAAAAGCACCTTAATTTTTTCCTTGTACTATGTGGATTGCTTCTACTATTGAATGTATTCCTGAGTACATTACATTTCTGTTGCACCATTTCTGCTTTGTGCTGTTTCTTTATACCTGGTACCATACTGTTTGAAAGTTTTACAGGCATTTTATTTGGCTGCAACCACCTCTTTCGGATTTCATCTCATTACTTGCTATTTCAACACCTGATTGGGATAGATTTCTACTATCTATCTGCTGAGATGAATCATTTCCTTGCTACTTATTGCACTGAAAAACAATCATCTGAAGAATAGGTAGAGGAAAATACTGCAGACAACTAAGATCAGGGAAATGAAAATTCTCTATGCCTAAAATGGAATCATCTACCTCTCCCTAAATAGCAATGAAAAAGTGGTGATTTGAGGTATTTAAGGCAAGAGACTGGACCACATTATTTCCTGGGGTCATGTTTACTTTTAAAGTCTGCAAATAAGCAAACTCAAAGCTCACAGTCCTAGGAAGAACTTAGACCCATTTGGTTTCTTTCTTTCTTTTCGTTTTTTTTTTTTTTTTTTTTTTTTTTGAGATGGAGTTTTTGCTCTTGTTGCCCAGGCTGGAGTGCAATGGCACGATCTCAGCTCACAGCAACCTCCATTTCCTGGGTTCAAGTGATTCTCCTGCTTCAGCCTCCCAAGTAGCTGGGATTACAGGTATGTGCCACTACGCCCGGCTAATTTTGTATTTTTAGTAGAGATGGGGTTTCTACATGTTGGTCAGGCTGGTCTCGAACTCCCGACTTCAGATGATCCGCCCACCTCGGCCTCCCAAAGTGCTGGGATTACAGGCGTGAGCCACCACGCCTAGCCAGCGTTTGGTTTCTTAAAAGCAAGCAGTACTAACAGTTTACAAATGTAGGGCATGGGATAAAAAGTAAAAAATAGTTACCAAAAATCTGTGATCATATAAAATTCAATTCAAAAAAATATAAGCTGCACATTAAGGCAATTTTGTTATTCAGAAAGACAATATGTTTATTTAAATTTTAACTGATTCATAGTCCTTGAACTATTCTTCCCACAAAAACAAAGAATCCAATTTTCATTATATTAATCTTTTTTCTTGGAAAATAGAAAAATACAATTTGAACCAATTTCAGCATAGCATAGTGATGAAGAATATGGCTTTAAACAGCCTGGGGTTCAAATCTCACTCTGCTGCTTACCAGCCCTGCCCCAGACACATTTCCTAACTTTCTTTTTTTTTGAGATGGAGTCTCACTTTGTTGCCCAGGCTGGAGTGCAGTTGCGCAATCTTGGCTCACTGAACCTCTGCCTCCCGGGTTCAAGCCATTCTCATGCCTCCCCTTCCCAAGTAGCCTGGATTTCAGATGCATGCCATCAAGCCTGGTTAATTTTTATATTTTTAGTAGAGACGGGGTTTTGCCATGTTAGCCAGGCTGGTCTTGAACTCCTGACCTCAGGTGATTTGGCCTCCCAAGGTGTTGGGATTATAGGCATGAGTCGCCGCGCCTGGCCACATTTCCTAACTTTCTTAGCCTTAGTTTTCTCATTTGTAAATGTAACTCTTACTTCATAGGGTTGTGAGGTTTAAGTGAGATAAACCCATAATAAGAAAATAATTCATGGTAAAATTTAAAATTTTATACCAACTACTGTGTAAGATACATTATACAGTAGTTCCCCTTATCTGCGATTTCACTTTCCACAGTTTCAGTTACCCATGGTCAACTGTGGTCCAAAAATATTAAATGGAACATTTCAGAAATAAACCCTTCATAAGTTTTGAATTGCACGCCATTCTGAGTAGTGTGATGAAATCTTGTGCCATCCCACTCTGTCCTGCCCTGAATGTGAATCATTCCTTTGTCCAGTATATTCATGGTATATACAATGCCTGCCCTATACAGTGTGATTGTATGGGAGAATACATAGTATAGGTAGGAGGTTTGGTACTATCTGCAGCTTCAGGCATCCACTAGGGGTCTTGAATGTATCCCCTGCAGATAAGGGGAACCGTTATGTAAATGACATATATAAAATATATACCCACCTTTTAGGCAGATCGATGGCTTCCTGAAGATGTCCATGTTCTCATTCCCAGAAGTTGTGAATGCATTACATTACATAGCAAAGAATAAAGGTTGCAGATAGAATTGAGTTTTCTAATCGGCTAACCTTAAGATAGAATATCTTTGGTGAGTTGAACATAATCACAAGGGTCCTTAAAAGTAGAAGAGGGGTTCGTGCCTATAGTCCCAGCTGCTAGGAAGATCGCCTGAGCTCAGGAGTTTGAAGATGCAATGAGATATGATTGTGATACTGCACTCCAGCCTGGGCAACACAGTGAGAGCCTGTCTCTTTTGTTTGTTTGTTTGTTTTGAGACGGACTCTCACTCTGTTGCTAGGCTGGAGTGCAGTGGCGTGACCTTGGCTCACTGCAACCTCTGCCTCCCAAGTTCAAGCAATTCTCCTGCTTCAGCCTCCCGAGTAGCTGGGACTACAGGTATGTGCCACCACGCCCAGCTAATTTTTGTATTTTTAGTAGAGATGGGGCTTCACAGTGTTGGCCAGAATGTTCTCCATCTCTTGACTTGTGATCCGCCCTCCTCAGCCTCCCAAAGTGTTGGGATTACAGGCGTGAGTCACTGTGCCTGGCCTATCCTGTCTTTAAAAAAAAAACAAAACAAAAAAGAACACTAAAACACAAAGATGGGCGTGGTGGTTTATGACTGTAATCCCAGCACTTTGGGAGGCTGAGGCAGGCAGATCACCTGAGGTCAGGAGTTCAAGACCAGCTTGACTAACATGGTGAAACCCCGTCTCTACTAAAAACACAAAATTAGCTGGGAATGGTGGCACATGCCTGTAATCTCAGCTACTAGGGAGGCTGAGGCAGGAGAATTGCTTGAACCCGGGAGGCGGAGGTTGCAGTGAGCCAAGGTCAGGCCATTGCACTCCAGCCTGGGCAACAAGAGTGAAACTCTGTCTCAAAAAAAACAAAAACAAAAACAAAAACAAATAGTGAGCCAGGTGCTGTGGCTCACGCCTGTAATCCCAGCACTTTGGGAGGCCAAGACTGATGGAATGCTTGAGCTCAGGTGTCCCAGACCAGCCTGGGCAACATGGCAAAACCTCATCTCTACAAAAAATACAAAAAAAAAAAAAAAAAAAAAATAGCTGGATGTGGTGGCATCCATGCCTGTAGTCCCAGCTACTCAGGAGGCTGATTGAGAGAGAGGATCACCTGAGCCCGAGGAGGTTGAGGCTGCAGCGAGCCATGATCAGGTCACTGCACTCCAACCTGGGCAAACTGGAAGAGGGAAGCAATAAAAGAAGAGTCAGAGCAGAGCGAGATTCCGTCTCAAAAAAAAAAAAAAAGAGTCAGAGAAGGAGATGTGACTATGAAAGAATAGTCAGCGAGATGCAACGTTGTGGGGTTTGAAGGTGGACAGCAGGGCCACAGTCAAGGAATGTAGGTGGCCTCTAGAAGCTGGAAAAGGCAAAGAAATAGATTTACTCCTAGAGCCTCCAAAAGAGGAGCACAGTCCTGCCAAGTCCAGTGAAACCCATGTCAGACTTGTAACCTACAGAAATGTACGGTAATAAATTTGTGTTGTTTTAAGCCTCTGAGTTTGTGGTAATTTATTACGGCAGCAAATAGAAAACAAATTAGGGCCAGGCATGGTGGCTCACACCTATAATCCCCGCACTTTGAGAGGCCGAGGCGGGTGGATCACCTGAGGTCAGGAGTTTGAGACCAGCCTCACCAGCATGGAGAAACCCTGTCTCTACTAAAAATACAAAATTAGCTGGGCGTGGTGGCGCATGCCTGTAATACCAGCCGCTCAGGAGGCTGAGGCAGCAGAATCGCTTGAACCTGGGAGGCGGAGGTTGCAGTGAGCCGAGATCAAGCCATGCACTCCAACCTGGGCAACAGGAACGAAACTCTGTCTCAAAAAAAAAGTATACACATTTGAAGTAGAAAGCTCTGATTAGAGAAACAGAAATAATTGGAAGGAAGAAACACTGAAGGATGAGTCCAGGTGGGAGACTGTGAATTGTATATAGGGTATCATCTTCACCATTGTGATTTTCCCCCAGCAAAGCTCTGCAACACTGATATAGCCATGGAGGAGGCATGGATTGAACCTGGCTTGGGAAAGTTTAAGAAAAGGACAATGGAGTAAAGGAAGAGAGCCCAAGAGGGGACCATGCCATTTACACTTCCCAGGAAAGGAGGAGGTGACAGACAGAAAGGAAAGGCCAAGGGCATGGGGGACTTGCACAGGTAAAGAATGAAGTTGACAA